GCCTAAGCCCCCGATTCCTAAATCCCTAGGTCTCTAATCATGTGCCTTACATGAAACCACCAATCAGCGTGTGCTGAGTGCCCTAAGCCCCATCCCCTCTCTTTCCTCCCCTTAAAAGGTGCCTGAACCCGGCCCTCGCTCTCTTTCTCCTCTGGAAGCAGCTGGCAGTGGTACTCTTCTCTTCAATAAAGCCTGTGGCCTGGCATCCTGGTCTCCAGCCCCTGTTTCATCTTTCATACAAAACTCCTCTTCTGAATGGGAGGGTCTGCAGCATCACAAAGCAAGGACGTGGACACGGCAGGGGCCAGAATTTGACATCACTTTTGTGATCTATTCTATGTCCCTAACCCGTCTCACAAATCTCCTTGACAGCTCTTCATTTGCTGGAGTGCAAGGGTCCCGGCTGGCTCGAGGGGGCGGGCAGCGAGCACTGACCGCTTGGGCGTGGGGCTGTGGGCCCACTCCTTTATGTGGAGTTCGCTCTGCAGGTGGGCAGGGCTGAGAGGGAGCTCACAGGGCATCTCGGTCATCATCACCCCGTGGGGATGAGGGCCTTGGTCCTCTCCTGTGACCTTACTTCCCACAGGGCCCCGGAAGTGAGGATGTTGGTCCTCAGGAGCCAGGGGCTGTGCGAGTGTTTCCTGGGGCACCCCATCTGGTCTCCTCACCACGGTCTGGGGGTGCTTTCAGGAGGGCTGGAAGCACCCTCCTTGAAAAGCTACCTGACTCGAACTCAGGCGAGGGGCAGCCGTGAATGTCTGCGGGAGCCTCAGAGGCGCCCAGTGACTTGGAGCTGGGCGCGGAGAGCCCGTCCCCTGGGGGAATTTCTCTCCAGGACAGGAGCCACGGAACCAGATTCCCCTGCCCCGGACCTTTGCACTCACACTTTGGATATTAGGAGTATCTTTCTTTCTTTTTTATCAAGATCCTGAAATGTGGTAATAAAGTTACTCCAATGAATAGCCCTGCACAACATGGGGAATGTAATAAAGGTGAAAGCAATAAAAGGGGGGAGAGGAGCCGCGCCGCACCAATACAGCCGGGACTTGTGAGAAATAAAAGTAATTATCACCTGCCCAACCTGGCCGGCCCACTCCGCGTACGCAGGAGAAAACCATTTCGGAACCTTATTTCCCATATTGAATGTCAATAATTGGATGTATTTATAAGTCTCTCTGGAAGAAAACAGCTTGTGACTTCAAGATGAGAAAACAGTCTTCCAAACAGTGAAAAACAATATATTCCCCATTTTCACACACACACACACAAAGAGCTTGTTTCCGCTGATGTTTTTAAGGTGCTGTTGGAATGATTTGCCTTTCCGAAGCCACCGTTCCATTTCTCATCTTGAATTGCCTCGCAGACCCTGGCAAAGCACTCAACGGGGACCACTCCGTCTGAGGCGGTGACGGGCGCTTCCTATGGAGGCCCTCAGCCGCCTCCTTCCTGCGGGAGGATGGAGACTCAGGCCGGCTGGGGGCAGGAGGGCAGGAGGAGAATGGCGTGAAGTGGGCTCCTCGGGGCCTGAGGGATGGTGGTGACAGCTGTGGTGTGTCCTGGAGGCCTCGGGAGTGGGAGGGCGAGGGCTGCCGCTGCGGACACTGCAAATGCTGACGGAGGCATCCGCAGAGCCATGATGGAGAGGCAGCTGCGGGCATTCCATTCGCATCACACTCCTCCCCTCTCTACCGAGGGTGAGGTCAGGCTAGAATATGCCACTCCCCCCCACCTCACACCCCGCACACCCACACCCCTCTATCTTCCCCCTCCATCTTTCTGTTCAGCCTATTTGTTGCTGGTCTCTCAGCCCAGTCTTCTGTTCTCAGCAAACGCAAAAAAGCAATCACAGAAACCCCAAAGGACAACCCCTGTGGGGTTTCACCACCTGAAGCTGGGGCCCCCCTGTGGTTGGGGCAGAGTCTTGCTGGCTCTTTCCAGATCTCCCCTCCAACTTTCTTGAGGCCTCTTTCCCTCCAGACATGGGCCTGGGGTCCATGCTTTCCTGCCTAGAATTTCTCAGGAACGCCCTGCTCACCACAGTAAGAAACAGTATATGCACCCTGGCTGTCGGCCCTCCCAGATGGGGGCTCCTTGGGAACAACAGCGAGGGCTCCTCTTCCTCTCTGTCCCTAGATCTCTAGGGGAGGGTCTAGACCCCAACCCCTCCCAGAGCGGCCAGTCACAGAGTGAGAGCTCAGGGTCGGGTGCAGAGCAAGCGTCCAGGCCACCTCCAGGGTGGCCCCACAGAGCCTCCCAGCAGGCCAGTGTACAGCAGAAGATGGATGGGCCCATGACATGGCTCTCCTGGGGACACCCCTAAAAGGCCCCACGGGTGGCTCATGAGTCAGAGTCTGGCTGGTGGTCCCCTCTGGGCCTGCCATCTCCAGGCAGCCTGCTGTTAGCGCCCAAGAGCTGCGAGAGCCTGTGGCCAGCCTGAGAGGGGAAGGCAGGCAGGAAGCCTGGCAGGACAGTGTCACAGAGGCACAGGGAGCTGCCTTTCCACAGGGCCTGGACGGGGGGGGGGGGGGGGGGGGGGAAGGGCGGGGGGACAGGGCTCTCCCCAGAAAGCTACGGTACTCCGGCTGCTGAGTCCGCTGAGCACCAACATCTCCCAGCCGCCTGTAGGTCACTAGCGGGGAGACTGTTTCAGCCAAGGGGCTGTGACCTCGGAGGTATCGCCGCAAGAGGCCCGAGTATGCTGCTACCGCTCTCTTGTTGATTTACACACTCCCGCTCCAACTCTCTAAAATCAATCTTCCCCCAATTGCCTTCTGGCTCCCAGCGGTGTCCAGGGTCTGCCCTGCATGAAGAACTACGCAATCTTCTTCTGCTCCCAGGGCCACCTCTCCTGTGCCCCGCCAGAGCTCTGATGGGGAGGGCGGGGGGGGGCAGCCCTCTGTGCCAGGCTCACTACCACTGGCAGGAACGGCCCCTGGTCCAGAGGGGCCTGGGTGGCCAGGTGACATGGGCAGGGCCTTCCTATTACTGCTCACAAACAAGAATGCTCCACTCAGTTGGTAGGCGCCCTCCCCGTATTATTTTGTGGATGTTTAGAATAATTACTTCTTTTTCACATTAATAAGTACTCAGAGCTGGCAATTAGCTTAATTTTGACATATTTTATGTAAAACGTGTCAGAGGGGCTGTGATTAGCTCCCGAACAGGGTTTTCCTTCCATAAAGTGAGCATTCTGCTCACTATTGGTTATTTTTAAAAAGTGCCCCTTATCAGGGAATCAAGTCTCTTTAGCTGAAGGCAGAGCAACTTCTATAGGAGGTTCGAGTTCTTGGGGCACCGGGCCGGCAGTGGGGTGTAGGGCCTTGTGTCTCTAGTTTCCTCCCTTGACACTGGCTGATAGACCCACTCTGGGGTCCTGCCTGGAGGACAGAGACCCCTGAGAGTTGCAATGTGTAGTGGAAAGGGGGAGGCCGGCTGGGGAGCCCTTCTCCCATCACCTCTCCTTGACCTTATCTGGAAAGGCCACCTTCCTCCCAGGAGCGTAGGCCTCTTTGGCTGTGCTATGGCCTAAAGGTGCCCGGATGTTTGCTCAGGAAATTCTCAGGCAATCCCATGAGGTGGGGACCATTAGCTCCCTCCCAACAGCTGAGGAAACCAGGGGTGGTACTGAGATTTGAAGCAGCCATGTGGTGCTACCCACTCTGCTTATGGTCTGGCTCGATTCACACCCCTCTCCCCCCATTTCAGGGGCCTGCTCTCTTCCCAGCTTTGGGGGGACAAACAGCAGCTGCTTCTCTATTTCAGAGGCCCTGGTGCCCTCCACCCCCCAGCCCAGCCATGGAGACCCACATTTTTGTCTTGATAAAGAAACAAGAGACACCCCACACTCAAGCCCTTCAACTAGAAGCTACTCTCAGCTTTGAATTGGCTGGGGCTGGGGTTAGGAGTCCAGGGGCATGTGCTGGGACCCACCTCCTGTCCACACACACTTGCACACCTTCCTGTGGCCCAGGACCCCAGCAATGGGCCCCTTTCCTTCACAGAGCCAGTGTGGGCCATTATTCAGGGGTGTGCTAACTGCATGAACTTGGCCCCTGTGTGAACTTAGGCTAGTTACCAACCTCTCTGGGCCTCAGTAAAATGGCATTCAGGTTGGAGCCTACCTCACAGGGCTGTTATGAAGACTCAATGAGCTAACATTGCAAAGGATTGGGGCACAGTACGATGGCAGTTGTTAATATTACAGTTGTTCTAAGGCACCTGCAGCCCAGGTTGCTCTCCTGGAACCTACTTTCCACCCCCCTCCCTGGTACCCTCCGCCCAGCTCTCAGGAGGACCCCGCACCTAACACCAGTGTCCAGCAGACAGAGGGGAATGCCCTCTGGTAGAGTTTCCCTCCTGAACTGTGTCCTCTATGTGCCTACCCGCCCCCCCCCTCCCCGACCCTCATTGGCCTTCTTGCTCCAGGTCCTCCTTCATCCTGCAGGTGAGGGAGCTTGGAAAGTTCCTACCAGACATAAAGCCCCAGCCCCACATTCAAAGCCCGGCAGGATTTGATCCTTGCTTTTACCTCTAAGGCCACCCTCTCATTCCCACACCCTCTCTCCTAGACACTGAACTTTTGTTACTCCGATTGCTCGGGCGTTTGCTCAAGCCATTTCCTTTCGTAAGCAATAGCTGTTACCTCTGGCCCACCCTAGCTTGGGTCAGGGGCTTCCTGCACCAGGTGTCCGTCCCTGGGCGGCTGAGACTCCAGGTGGGGGCTGCTGAAGCAGGCATCCCGCCCCCGGGACACGCCTCCCGGGGAAAGGCCTCCGCCCGCCTCGGCCCCGCCCTTCGCTATTGAGCCATTGAGCGGAGAGAAGCTCCGCCCCTCAGCGCTTCACCTCCCGGGGCGCCGCCGGCTCCTTGCTGGAGGGGGCGGGCCAAGGAATCCGGCTCCCCAGCCCCGCCCAGGCCCCGCCCAGGCCCCGCCCCCCGCAGGGGGACGGGTCAGGCCTCAGCTGTTGCCGCACTTCACGTGACGCCGGAGCGGGGCGAACATGGCGACTACCAGCAGGTCAGTGCGGCTCCAGTGCCCGGCCTCGCCGGCGGCGCGGAGAGGGCTCGGGCCTCCTGGCGCCCAGTGGGTGCCAGCCCCGCCGGCGTTTTGGGTGGCGGCCCGCGGCGGGTGTTCGCTCGGGGAGGCTCGCCCCGCCCTCCGCGTCCCGGGCGGCGCTGTGCCCGCAGCTCCGCTACCGGCTCCCCATGGGTTCTGGGTAGGGGGCGGGGGAGGACCCATTCGTCCCCGTTGTGGGGCTGGGTGGGACGCCCGCTTTCACGGCCAAGACCGTCAGATGGGGAGGCGGCGCGTGGCCAGGGCGCCAGGGTCCTGGGCGCTGGGGAGGAGGCAGTGTTTGACATGGGGGCACTTCCCCATTTCCTTCGGGGCCCAAACGTCACCTCCTTAGAGAAGCCTTCCCAAAGTACCCGTTCTACTAAAGTATATAGTATAAAGTACGTAGTTTTTATGTTATTTGTTTTCCCATTTAGAATGTAAGGTCAGGACCTCTCTCTGGTTCGCTCCTGGGCATCACTAGTGCGCGGTGCACACAGTAGGTGCTTCATAAGCTCTGCTGCATGAAAGAATGAGTGAGTGGTCCTAGTGGGCCAAAGTATGGACGGGTGGGGTCACACTGAAGCACTGGTGATAGTGTCCCAGGCAAGAGAACATTTGAGCAAAGGTTGAGAGTTCAGAGTGTTCTGGGCACAGGAGTGAGGGGTGTGAGTCTCAGTGCTGGAGGGTGTGGCGCCTGAGATGGCTTCTCCAGACTTTGTCCTGAGGGCCTGGAGCCCTTCTGTGCTTTAATCTGCTCATATCTGCTTTTCAGATGATCACTGCCCTGGGCTGTGTGTGAGTTCGGGGCGGGGGGGGGGGGGGGAGGGGGGGGGGAGGACGGGCATGCGGGCCTGGGGGTACTGGGCTCGGAGGGGCGGTGGTAGAAGAGGGAGAACTTCCTCAGATGCAAGGCTGGGTGCTGAGACCAGAATGCAGGAACTGGTAGAATGGGTGCATCTTTATTTGGGGGAGGATGACAATAGAAAGTGACCCTCTCTATTGGCCTCCAAGGTTGGAAGAGCTTAGGACACTCAGTGGGCATCTGCTGTTTTCCAGGAACAGTACTGAGTCCACCTTAGGTGTTCCCGGGCCACTGGGGCAGGTGGACACATGGGACTCTGTCATCCATCTGCCTCCTCTGGTCTTGGTGTGTGCCATGGAGGGCATGGGCCTGCGCTCAGACATAATGGGACACCCCACCGTCAAGTCATGGCCATGGGCCACTGTGCAGTCTGGCCGTTAGAGTGCTACTAGCCTGGGCTACTAGCAGAGGCTTGGGAGTCCTGGGTGTGTGCCATGTGATTTTGGGAGCAGTGCAAGCCCTAAGCTAGCATCATAGATTCAACTTGAATACTCCTCTGAGGTTGTGTCAGGTTGATTCAGCTCTTTCTAGGCAGGGAGTTAAGTGTGAGACAGAGAGTCCGCCTGCTCTGAGGTCACCCCACCCCATTCTATGGCACTTGGTGGGAGGAAGCCCTGTCTTCTCCATGGGGCATGTCTTGAGCTTTCCCTGGATACAGTGAGCCTTCTCCCCTGCACAGGACCTGCCTGCATCTGCTCCTCGACATTGGTTCTTTTCTTCTCCTCTCCCCTTTGCCTACACACCTGCTGGCCCTGAAGTGTCCTGCTCCTCCGACATAATTGCTCACATCCTTGCAGGCCCAGCTAAAATGGTCCCTGTTCTAGAATCCTTTCCTGACTTCATCCCCTCCCTACCCGCAGCCCCCGAGTTCCAGAGAGCCCCAGTTTTCCCCGCTGGCAGGATGCTTCCTCACGTCTGCACGCCTGCCCATGGTGGCTCGGCGAGGGCTTGCTGCTCTCATGCCTCTAGGACCTGTTCAGTTAGTACCTCCAGGGCCACGTGGCTGCCCTGTCATTGGTGCTGGGTGACATGCTGCTGAGTGAAGAAAAGGGGGATTTACTCTAAACTGTCCAATAGGCGGGAAGCTCTTAGTAATTGAGGAAAGGAGTTGTGGGTGGGAGAGGGACATAATTTTGAGTAGGATGAAGAAATATCTTCAATTCTTTAATTAACTGAGTGGCTCCAGGGATCTCCTGCCCAGAGAGCCTTTGCCCAGAGAGAAGTAGCAGGTGAGCTTCCCTGGGTGTGTACCTGTGGGGTCATAGGTCACACTAGAGTCAGCATTCTTCTGGAGAGAAAGTATTTGGAGGAGTCAGGTTGTAGATCAAAGCTCATTCCCACCCTGATATGGACCTTTTGCTCCTGGAGAGGAGGCCTTAGGCTGACCCTGGGTTGGGGTAGGGGTGGGTCTGTGTACTGGCCACTGAATGCCCCTTTGCCCTCCCCAGCCCTTCCCAGGGTTGGTCCAGACTCCACCCAGCCCTCTCTCAATTGTTTCTGCTTAGCCCCCTAGCCCTGCTCCAGAGAGAGGGAGGCAGAACAGAGGCCCCTCTAACTGGGGTGAGCAGGCTGGCCTGGCTGACAGTCAGCCAGGGGGCTTGGTGCCAGGCCTGTGCTGGAGGCTGAGAGTGAGGAAGTAGACTGGTCCTTGGCACTGTGGCTCCATCCAAAAGTGGGGACACATTCTAGGGCAAGAATCTTGTCCTAAACTGTGCCCTAGATGCCTGGGCATCAGAGAGACCTTTGCACCCTCCTTAGCATGATGTTTTTAAATGCATGAAGTAAAATACAGAGATTACAAGGAAAACCAGTTATATTGGAATAGTTATTAACATGTTTAAAAATAAATTTGTGGTATAGTAATATATGCTTTATCAACACATCTATACTAATAAAAGGGTAATATGCTAATTATACTGGACGTCTTCTGGACATCCTTCCAGACAAAGCCTCAATGGCAGGGGCCGAGGAGGGGGATCAGGTCAGCAGAGGAGAGCGGGTAGGGGCAATTAAGCAGGCAGGCAGAGTTGTTAGGGGTGATCAGGCAGGCAGGCAGGTGAGCAGTTAGGAGCCAGTGGTCCCAGGTTGGAGAGGGTGCAGGCCTGGCTAAGGGACTGCTCCCCCCATGCGTAAATTTTGTGCGCCGGGTCTCTAGTTAAATAATAAAAGCCACAGGTCCAATACTCACCTTAATTTTGAAGTAGTGAGAGCAAAAGTGATATTTTGAGATAATTTAACATCAGTGATATATGAAATACCTGTGATTTTTGTTGGTGACAGTCACATACTACTGATGCTGTTGTGGTTAGTTGCTTACATTAAGAAAATTTGAGAGGTTAGAGCAAATATAATTTACCCCCCCCACCCAAGTAATTGGTATCCTAAAATTCTATTGATGAATCCCCAGGGATCTAGGAGTCTTGAGTAAGAACCCCACAAGCCAGGTAGCCATTGGGGGCAAAGGAAGAGGTGGCTCAGAACCAATTTTGGGAATGGGTACAAGTGGGGGGTAGGGAATTGCTTGCAGGGGCTGCAGGATCACCCCAGTCCTGGCCACTGGCTGCTTCTTGGGCCCTGGTGGTCAGTCCGCAGGGTGCGAGCCGGCCTGTGGGGACCAGAGCTTATTCTGTGAAGTGTTTGATGCCCGGGAGCCACTGTCTGCCAGCCCCTGCTGTCTTCCCTGGGCACTGCCTGTGCCCTCGCCTGCCTGCAGGAAAGTATATCTATGCTGGGACTTCAGGATGACCTGGCTCTTGCCTTTTAAATTCCGGGTGCCTGTTAAAAGTTCCAGCAGATACCAGTTGGAGATGTTTTATGAGTGCTGCCTTTGCTGAACTGGCAGAGAAAAGTCACTGCGTTGGCTCTGGGCCCAACATTCCCTCTGGTGGTTTGGTTTATGCCATGAGGAATCAAAGGGCATGTCTCTATAAACCTGGATTCGGGGAGTGCCCTGCCGTCATGAAAGACTGCAGCTCAGCAGCCTGCCTGCTGGCTCAGGCTCGCCGCTTCCCTGAGCTGCAGTGTTGTAGGTTCTCACAGTAGCAGCAGAAGCTCAGAGAGGTGCCTTATCGAGTTCTGTCTCATACTGGGCTGCTTGGCCCCCATGCCAGAAGGCCATAGTCTGGATTCCTTGGGGGATTTAGGTCTCTCAGAAAGTTCAGACTAGAGGAAACCCAGCCCTTCTGAGAGCCTTCCAGGTGGGGGTGTGGTGGCAGGCCCAGTGGTGGGATGGAGCTGGCAGCCGGTGTGTTTGAGGAAGGAACTGAGCCAGAGGGGCCAGGAGTGGTGAGAGTGAGGTGGGTGGCACTGGGCTCTGCAGCCTCTTGGGTCTGGGCTCCTTTGGTGGGAGCCCACAGATGCCTGGGTGCCATTTCCTCAGGGCTGCTGGGAGTCTGTAAAGATGATGTTCTTCCCCATGCCCACCCCCTCATGGGCTTTGCTGAGTGGGGAGAAGAGTGTGCAGGGCCCTGAGGACACGGCAGGGATGCCGGCGGCTGCACTTTCAGTTCCTGACAGTGTGGCCCGCTGGGAAGCAGGCATTATGACCATCACCTCTGCCTTTCATCCTTGTGGCTGAGCCTGAGAGCAAATGGTCTGACTTACTGGGAGCCTTGGCCCCTGTGTCCATTCTTCTGGGAGAGATGGAGGGAGGGGGCAGCCAAGAGGGAGGGAGGCTGTAGTCCTGTCAGCATGTGTAAGCTGTGCATGGCTCTCCACCCGGCCCAGCCTGGCTGGGGCCCGAGTTTCTGCTTCCTGCCCTGTGGAGGCTGATGTGGCAACCTCCGATCTGCACAGCTGTGTGTGTGTCCCCATGTTGTGACTGTTGTTTATTCAGCAAATAATTATTGAGCACCTGCTGTGTGCCAAGCAGGGTGCCAAGCATTGGGCACAGCAGTGAGCAGAGCAGACCCGGGTCTGTGTTTCCACAGGGTGCACAGCGGAGAGGCGGACCTCAGAGGAGCCTCGGTGAACACGGGCTGCATGTGTGTTAGCAGGGGAATGTGTTCTTGCAGCTGGGGACCCGGCTGAGCCTTCCTCGGGGGACTGAAGAGAGGCAGTGCAGGGTCGGTTTTTAGAGCCCTGGGCAGGTTAAGGGAGTGGGGGAGAAACAGGAGGGGAGCTGGTCAGGAACCATCAAAGGGTGTGCTATAGGAAGGGCGGCCTGGCGGGACTGTGGCCCTGTGTGAAGGGCCTGCCAGCTGTCATAGTCCCAGATTCCGCCGGGGAGGGAGCTGGGAATGGATTCTCTGTTCTCCCCGTCTCCTCACCTACTCTAGTCTCCTCCTTCCCACCCCCTCGGTGCCTTTCCCTGGTTAGTCCCGCCTGGATGCCAGAGGCTTGGAGAAGCTTGCTGATGAAGAGTCCTCAGAGCTAGGAGAGTGGAGGAAGCCCAGGCAATTCTAAGTCAGGGGATGGGCAGAGGAGGGACACCAGGGAAGACCATCCTGAGGAGCCAAGCTGTGAGGAGTGTTTCTGCCTCTGAGGGCCCCCTGTCCCTGAGCCGGGCTGCCTCGGCTGGCCAGTAGCCTGTGGGTTCTTGATGTCGTGCAGGAGGGATTTCACGGCACGAGTCCAGGTGATTTTGAGAGCACGGTTATTAAAGCTGGGGACACTGGCGCGAGGAAGGGTTTAGGATAGAAGCAATAGGCGAGCCTAGGCGGGGCTGCTTTGCCTCACTGCGAAGTCAGAGAAAAGGGGGTCCTGGACGCAGGAGCAGGATGTCAGCGGAAGAGGAGCTGCCACCTGCTGCTCCCCATGCTCCCCTGGTTCCTAGTCCCTGGGGACCCTTAGCATTTAGGGTGAAGAAAAAGGGAGAGGTGCAGACCTGCTCTTGGGAGGGAGAGGGGACCCTGAGACTTTTGTGTTGAGAGTTTTAGAGTTTAGAAGGTTAGGGGAGGTCTTAGGGAAGGATCTCAATAGAGTGAAGACTATTCATTAGCTTTTCCAGGTGTATCCTTCCAAAGTCGTGGTCTCCACTGATGGGTCGTTGCAGCTGGTCCTGGCAGCTTTTCTGGGCCTGGAGCTGAAATACAACTGAGGCCTAGATGCTATGTCTAGGGAGGTGACCTTCTGTACCTGCTGGAAATCGCTCTGCAGTTTGTTCAGCTGTCTGTCTCAGTCTCCCTGTTCCCCTTGTCTGGGCTCACCGCCCGGTCTCACCACAGCCCGGTGAATGCATGCGGTGCCCGCCGCCCTTCTGAAACCAAGTGCAGTGAGAGGAATTCCATGTGCCTGGCTTGCTTTCTCTCTCAGGCCATTCCAGGCAGAGCCCTCACTCTCACCTCAGCTCTGGGCTGTGCTCGGCCTCCATGCCCGTGTCCGCCCCCCCCCAGCCCCCTAGGCTCACCCCACCTGCTGGGGCTGCCCTTCCTTCCTGCTCTTAGGCATTCAGCTCCTCCACTTGGCGTGGCTGCATCTCGATGGCTGGGAAGGTGCTGGGAAGGAGGCAAGGGCCCTGCCCTCCTGGAGCTTACATTTTACCTGGGGGCCACCGTCCATAGGCATGTGGTGTTAGGCAGTGACACAGGCTCCAGACAGGCATGAAGCGGGCAGGGGAGAAGGTTTGGGTGGGTTTTTAGAAAAGCTTCTGGGAAGAGGCTCTGCAGAGACCTGGGAAAACGGATGTGAGCACTGGGAGAGCTTTCCTCCCTGGGAACAGCAGCGAAAGGCCCTTGCGGGGTGGGGATCGGGCTGGTGTTTAGGGGGGGAGTGAGAATGCCTTGCAGGCAGAGTTGGGTGTTGGTTCTCAGCTCCTCAAAGCTGGGGAATAAGCTTGGGCTGTGTTCCGAGTGCACTTGAAAGCAGGAGGCTTGAGCAGGGGAGTGCCTTTTTGAAGGGCCCCTATGGATGGTGCAAACCAGGCTGCAGGGGAACCTGGGACTGAGAGCAGGTGAGAGTTCCCTGTGGTGGTCCCGGTGGAAGATGGGAACTCCAGCATGGAGGGCGAGTGGAGGATGGAGGGAGCCTGGTGTGGCTGGGCAGGGTTTCCGCAGAGAGTGTGGCCCTCGGTGTGCTGGGCACCAAGAGGCCTCGGGTGCTGCAGTGCAAGGAGGAGCAGAGCTGAGGCCTGAGAGAGCATGGTGGCCACAACATGGGGATGGTGGGCTTAGGTGGCTTCAGAGGAAATTTACTGCAAAAGGGAGAGAGAACTAGACTTTTGGAGGAGCATGGGGTCAAGGGAAGGGCTTTTATTTATTTGCTAGAGGCCAGGTGCATGAAATTCGTGCACAGGAGTGTGTGTCCTTTAGCCCATCCTGCACTCTCTCCAATCTGGGACCCCTCAAGAGATGCCCAACTGCCCAGTGGGATCAGGCCTAAATGGGCAGTCGGACATCCCTCTTACAATCCAGGACTGCTGGCTCCCAACCACTTGCCTGCCTGTTTTCCTCTATTACTTTAGCCTGCCAGCCTGATCACCCCCTAACCACTCACCTGCCAGCCTGATCAATGCCTAACTGCTCCTCTGCTGGCCCAATTGCCCCTAACTGCCCTCCCTTGCCAACCTCGTTGCCCCTAACTGCCCTCCCCTACAGGCCGGTCACCCCTAACTGCCCTCCCCCTGCTGGCCTGGTCATCCCTAACTGCTCTCCCCTGCAGGCCTGGTCGCCCCCAACTACCCTCCCCTACAGCCTGGTTCCACCCAACTGCCCTCCCCTGCAGGCCTGGTTACCCCTAACTGCTCTCCCTTGCTGGCCCGGCCACCCTTAACTGCCCTCCCCTGCAAGCCTGGTCCCCCCCGCCCCCCCAACTTCCCTCCCCTGCTGGCCTGATCACTGACAACTACCCTACCCAGCTGGCCATCTTGTGGTGGCCATCTTGTGTCCACATAGGGGCAGCCATCTTGTGTGTTGGAGTGATGGTCAATTTGCATATTACCCTTTTATTAGATAGGACTAGAGGCCCGGTGCATGAAAATTCATGCACTGGAGGGGGGTCCCTCAGTCCAACCTGCCCCCTCTCACAGTCTGGGAGCCGTCAGGAGCGGGAGGCAACTGGTGATCAGGGCGGGAGGCAATGCCCCCATCACATCTCCGCTTTTGCCACTGCCAGCAGCGCAAGCCTTGGCCGACCCTGGTTATCTGAGCCTCAGGCATCCCTGGGCAGCTGTGGCGCTGAGCGGACTGGGGGACTCTGGAGATAGGTGTGTGGCGAGAGGGTACTTGGCGCCGCCATCTTGTGGCTGTGAACGCCACCATCTTTGAGGGCGGGGTAGTCAAGTAGCATATTTCCTCCTTATTGGCTGTGGGCACTGCCATATTTGCAATGGTGTGAGGGTCAGTTAGCATATTCCCTCTTTATTAGATAGGATTATTAGATAGGATTTTAAAAATGGTGAGGTTCCTGTGTGTCTGGAAACCGAGAATGCTCCTGAGGTAGAATTGATGCTGGAGCAATGCAGGAATAGGCATTGAGGTGCAGCCACGCCAAGTGGAGGAGCTGTGGGAGCAGGCGTGGGGAGTGTCCAGAGGTGGTGGGTTTGGGGAGTGTGTGCTGGGAGGATAAGCTGGGAAACTCAGTGAAAATGGAAGCCAGTGAGGAGTGGGATAGAGGTGGGGGTATACACCCACCTCTCTGCCAGGCCTGGCTCCTCCCATCCCAGTGAGTCTCAGCAGCCAGTCCCTTGCTGGCTGCTCTCCTTAAGGTCAGTGTCCCTGGGCTGCCACTCCCAGGCCCATCTTGTCATGGTTCCCCTTGGCCACTCAGCACACACTCCTGGCCCTGGCGCTGGGTGTCCTGGGTGTGTGTGTGTGTGTGGGGGGGGGATTATCCTGAGAGAGTGTGTGTGTGTGTGTCCTGAATGTGTGTGTGTGGGGTTGTCCTGGGTGTGTGTGTCGGTGGGATATCCTGTGTGTATGTGTGTGTGTGCGCGGGGGGGTTGTCCTTGGTGTGTGTGTGTGGGGTGCCGTATCTTGTGTGTGCGGGGGTGGGGGGGATGGGGGAGTGAGGGGTTGTCTGTGTGTGTGGAGGGGGGCACTGGGTGTCCTGAGTGTGTGTGTGTGTGTGGGGGGGTGAGTATTCTGGGTGTGTGTGTGGGGAGGCCTGAGTGTGTGTGGAGGGGTTGTCCTGAGTGTGTGTGTGGGGGTATTCTGGGTGTATGGTTGTGGGGGGTGGGTATCCTGGGTGTATGGGGGGTATCCTGGGTAAGTGTGTGTGTAGGGGTGTCCTGAGTGTGTATGTGTGTGTGGGGGGGCGGTCCTGAGGGTGAGTGTGTGTGAGAGAGAGAGAGAGAGAGAGAGAGAGAGAGAGAGAGAGAGAGAGAAAGAAAAAGAAAGAGACGGCCAGCCTGGGAGGGGTGGGGGTGAAGAGAGAGAGAGAGAGAGAGAGAGAGAGAGATAGACAGACAGACAGACAGACAGACACGGCCAGCCTGGCTGCAGGCGCCTGGGCAGGGAAGCAGAGTTTTTGGGCCAGATCGTTTTTTCAGGCGCGGGTGTAAGGTCCTTGAGGGCAGGGATGGAGTGAGTATGTCGCCACACCATTGCAGGCTTCCCTCCCTGCGCCTCACCTGCCCTGGTGACATCCCCCTGAGCCCAGTGCTGGGGACCGTGGGGGAGGCTGTGGTTGACAAGCCCCTGTGAGGCCGGTGAGGAGCCTGTGCTAATGGGGGTCCCGTGTCAGGCTTAGCCCTCTGGTCCCCTCAGACTGCCACGGTGGACGTGCGTGGCGGTGCTAACAGAGGCCTGTGTGGCTGTGTGTGCTCTTGTCTTGCAGACCTTGGTTTTGGCTGGGGAACGAGACCCTGAAGGTGCCTCTGGCCCTCTTCGCCCTAAACAGGCAGCGCCTGTGTGAGCGTCTGCGAAAGAACCCGGCCGTGCAGGCCGGCTCCGTGGTGCTGCTGCAGGGTGGGGAGGAGACGCAGCGCTACTGCACGGACACCGGGGTCCTCTTCCGCCAGGTGAGCCCCCCGCAGCCCCCGCTCCAGGCGCGCACCAGGCCTCCTGTGCTCCTCCCTCCTCCAGCACCCAGCTTGGCGGGCCTCGGGCAGCTCTGTTTCCTGAGGGACCCTGAGAGGCTCTCTGCAGGTAGGCCCGGGCCTGGGCACCAAGGAAGCCTGCACTCCCAGGGGCAGAGCTGTCACCCGCCAGTCAGCTCTCTCAGGTCAGAGTACAGAAGGATAATATTCCTGGGGCAGCAAGCAGGCTAGCTTCGTGGAGGAGGCAGCATTTGGTATGGTTGCCAGGGTGAATTCTGACAGGTTGGGGGGAGGATGTCCATAGGAGTGGGTGGCAGGAGGTGGGCTGGCAGCTTCCCAGGGCCAGAGAGAGGTGCAGATGGGGGTGGAGAGGGGGGCAGTTCCTTCTGCCGGCAGCAGGGGGGACGAGGGCTGCAGAGGTCAGGGAGGAGGCACGTGAGCAGGGTGCTGAGCAGGAGCCGGAGGCCCGGGCATTCTTTCCAGCTTGGCCAGTGCTGACCCTGCGACCCTCACCTGGAAGCGGTCCAGGAGCTCCTTGAGGTTCTGGAAACCTGTGGGGTGGCAGGTGGCCCGGCTGCAGGAAGCCAGCCTGGCTGTGGAGGCATTGGCTGAGAATTGCTGACGGCACCCAGTTCCCAGGAATAGGGGCAAGACAGAGGAGGTCTCTGGGAAAACCAGGGATGCCCTGAGCTGGCCCACTCTCACTGATCCTAGCATCGCACCTACTTTACAGATGAAGAAATCGAGGCTCCAAGAGTCAAGCTGGGATTAATTAGAACCTCATCTCTGGACTCCAAGTCTAGTGCGTGCTTCTCCCTGCCATGCCCAGAGCTGGGGCCTGACACACTGGAAACTCCAGGACAAGCAGAGCCGAGGGAACGTGGCCACCCACAGCCAGGGGCCTAGGGAATGTGGCCACCGCAGCCAGGGGCCTAGGGGACATGGCCACTCACAGCCAGGGGCCTAGGGGACATGGCCACTCACAGCCAGGGGCCTAGGGGACATGGCCACCAGCATTTAGGGGCCTAGGGGACATGGCCACCAGCATTTAGGGGCCAAGGGGACATGGCCACCCGCAGCCAGGGGCCTAGGGGACATGGCCAGCCAGTATTTAGGGGCCTAGGGGACATGGTCACCCAGCATTTATTTATTTATTTTTAAAAATATATTTTATTGATTTTATACAGAGAGGAAGGTAGAGAGATAGAGAGTTAGAAACATCGATGAGAGAGTCATCGATCAGCTGCCTCTTGCACACCCCCTACCGGGGATATGCCCGCAACCAAAGTACATGCCCTTGACCGGAATCAAACCCGGGATCCTTCAGTCCCCAAGCCGACGCTCTATCCATTGAGCCAAACCAGTCCCGGCTGCCACCCAGCATTTAGGGGCCTAGGGGACATGGCCACCTGCAGCCAGGTCAGGGAGGAGGCAGGGATCTTGAAGGGAACTGAGTGTGGAGAGGAGGTGGCAAGGCCTGGCCTCCGCAGCTAGACTGCACTCCACAGGCACAGACTGGCTGAGATCCGCCGCCGAGAGCGATGAGTGTTTTTACCGAAAGTGCCTCCTGCTGGAAGGGTTTCCTCTGTCTCGTTGTTGTAGTCAAGCCCCCAGGCCCCTGGTTGCCAGCCGCGGAGGCCTAAAGTTTTTCTGACTTGTTTTGGTGCCTCTTGAAGTTTACATGTTCTGTGGTTTAAAAACTGATCTCCTAATTTCAGCTGTTGGCTCCATCACTGATGTTTTGCAAAGTTAATTTTGGAAGCGTTCCTCCTCCGCTTGCTATACCTTTCTGCCGATATTTTAGCTCAGTGTTTATTGCCAAACACGGAAGTCAGCAGCAGCCCCGGGGGTGGGAGAAGGAAGTAAGGAGACCTGAATGGAGGAATCCATTTCTGTGCAGATGTCCAGGCTGGTGTCTAAGGCAAGGTGGCATCTTGCCTGCCTGTGGCATTGAGGCTGCAGAGATGCAGGTGGCAGAGAGGCAGGTGCAGGGCTGAGCTGGACCTGTGCTCATGGGTACCCTCTGCCCTATCAAGGGCCAAGGTGTGTGGCCAGTGAGGTGGGGGTACAGGTGGGGCTGGGGCATGTGCGTGAAACATATCATCAGAAAGGCTCAAAGCAGTGCCAGAGGAGCCGGCCAGGCTGCCCCTGCCAAACCCTGGGAGGAAGTGATGGGTAACCCGGAGCCGGAGTGGGGGCAGGAAGCTGAGGTGAGGGCTGTGTGAGGCTGGGGGGCTGTATGAGTCTTCGAGGGCGGCAGCCTGAGGCAGGTGCCCCAACTCCCTTGATCCCCGTGTTTCTGTCCTGCTGCCCGGGTGACCGTGGTCCTCGTTCCTGCCACAGGAGTCCTTCTTTCACTGGGCATTCGGAGTCACTGAGCCCGGCTGCTACGGCGTGATTGACATCGACACCGGGAAGTCGACCCTGTTCGTGCCTAAGCTTCCTGCCAGCCATGCCACCTGGATGGGCAAGTAAGGAGCAATTCTGGGTGATGTCACGGTGCCCACTGACCCCGGCTGGCCAGGGTGGGGGTGCAGGGCCCTCTTGTGGATTGCAAGGAGGGGAAGAGGAGCAAAGGGTGGGTGGGTTAGTGGTCAGGCCGTTGACAGCCTGCTCTGGGCCAGAGCCCGGCACCCTCGGTTGGGAAGGGGAATTAGCACCTGAGCCATACTGTGGTCATGTTTGCTTAGAGATACTGCTTATTAATCTTAAAGTTCTGGATTCCTGGCTTTGTAAAAGTGCCTAAGGCTTGGGCCTCAGTGGGCCAGCATGGTTCTGTGGAAGGTGGCCCCACGGTGTGTGTGGTGGGAGTAGGTTCCAGTCAGAGAGGACAACCCAGGGCCCTTCTCTGAGGCCCATCGCTAGCAGCAGGGCATTGCTGGATGCATGCTGTGTGCCTGCCTCTTGGCTAAGTTCTGCAGGGCCACAGCTGTGTAACCCGCCTCGGCGGCTCCCTGAGATGGGGTAGCGCTGTGAGAAGTGCGGGAGCAGAGGCCTGGGCCTCGCTGAGACACCCATCACCCAGGGCCCCTGCCAACTCCAGGGCCCTTGGCCGCGTCCACCTCTCCGCAGCCGCTCCTCTCAGCGGCGCTGAGGCAGAGCTGTACTTAACCGGGGACATGCGAGGTGATCAGAGGATCCCGCTAAATGGTCACCGCCTCCCGGCGTGCCATTTCTGCCTGGAGAGTGATTATTGAGGGCTAATGGGTAAATTGCAGCCTTCGCCGCCTCGTGTCCCTGAGCGCTCATTACCAGGTGCGCAGGCCTGTCTGCGGCTGGTTTGAGTGACAAGGCACTTGGCTGCTGCAGGAAGATGCTCTGTGCGGAGGGCCAGGGCAGGCCCCTCCCGCACGCCTCTGTTTCACGTGCCGCCCTCCCCCTCCGGCCCTTCAGTGCCAACCCCGTAGCCTCCTCTGTGGGCCGGGCGTGTGCTGCCTCTGCTACCTTGAGCTGGGGACTCACCTCATGAGCTGTAACAGTTCTGCTGTGAGCCCACTTTGTTTGGCACGATCCCTGGCCCTGGCCTTCGATTGTGCTGTGAAGACTCGGCTCCAAGCAGAATGGGCAGCACAAGAGAAGCGGATGGGCTTTTCCTGGCAGTGTGTTCACCTGGCTCGGCCCTGAGGACAGAGGGGGGGGGAAGTGGACATGCACAGTCCCATTGGCCTTTGTGGTGGATGGCTGGGCAGCCACTTAAATCGCCCTTTCAGACGTCCCTGGCAGATGACAGAAATGTTTCCTGCTATGTAATGCGTTGGGGGAGGGGGCACTGGAAGGTCTGCCTTCTTCCCAGAGGGAGGGGCAGGGATGGCATGGCTGAGCAGGGCCAGTGAGAGCCCTGAGTGGGATGTGGGGGGGACTTGGAGGAGGCTTCTGAGGTAGACTGCCTCCTTGTACCCGAGCGAGTCTTGTGCCAGCAGAGAAATGGCCTCAGGTTTGGCCTGGAGCAGGCTCTCCTCAGCCCATCCAGGCACTCCTGCTAGCTCAGCAGACCCAGGCCCGGCCACGCAGGTGCTCCTGGGTAGGTGGCTCTGGCCTCACCGAGCTCTTGCTCCCCCTCCCTCCCCCCTCCCGTGCTGTGACCTTCATTCCATTCCTGGCCGGATCCCCATGGCTGCTGCTTTACAGAGGAAATGCGGTTGGCCCGTGCAGGTCCACGGCCCGTCTTGCTGGAAGCTTGCTGACAGCTCAGTGTGGTCTCTCCGCAGAGCGGGTCTGGCCACTGTGGGGTCTCTGATTTCCTTTCTGTGGGACAGGAACACTGCCACTGGTGAGGCCCTGCCACTGTGGAGATGGTTACATTTGTGACCCTAAAGTGAGGTGGTGAGGATGCCAGGAACAGACCGTTTTTAATCTCCAGAAAGGGCCACTTCCTGTGGAGAGGTGGAGTCTTTCCCCTCCTTCCTAACTCGGGTCAGGACCTGGTGGCTGCCGGGATACGGGATGGTGCAGGGTCCCTGTGGGGCCTCTGAAGCTGGACTGACAAGGGCACCATGCTTCTGCCTGGTCCTCGTCATGGCACCCATGCCCTGGACACAGCTGCTGTGCTGGAGGAAGTCCAAACTCGCCCGTGTGGAGAGGAGCAGAGGCACCTCCCGCCAGAGCGGAGATCCAAGCCCAGCCCCGAGTCCTCCTCTGAGGTCCAGGCCCTGTGGAGCCATCGCCCCTCTGGGCTCTGCCACGAGTTCGTGAAGAAGGTGCGTGTTTTTGTGCTCCCCCACACGCCATGTGGTGTGGCCAAGGCCCTGGTGACTGGGACAGTCTTGGCGAGGAGTTTCCTGTTGGGAGCTCAGATCTGGTCTCCCAGGGCTTCTCCCAGAGCCCTTCCTGCACCCTGAGGGATCACAGAGCTGAAGCCCCAGCCCCTCTTGCCAGTGATGCATCCAGGATTAGCCTGTGCCTGGCGGCGCCCATGCCTCTCAGCCTCCCTGTGGCCCTGCCTCCTCCGTGCAGTGTGGGTGTGGACAGTGGTGGAAGGAGGGCCTGACCAGGGTTTCTGACTGGACGTGGGGAGGGGCTCTGAGGGCATCTCCTCAGCTGGGTGTCTGTCTGCTTCTTTGCGCAGAAGTCGGGGAGTGCCTGTCCTGGAGGGTGGGCATCCTCCAGGGTTATGGGAGGAGAACCTGGACCCTCCTTCCAGTGGGAAGCCTGAGGGAATCTCACCGCAGCCACCAACTGGGGGTCAAGGACACTTGACTAGAGGGTTCATGCCCAGGACCTGGCTTGTCAGGGGACATTATCAGCTGGTTCCTCCGGAGGGTAATCCTCAGTGACAGAGGAATAATGTTCTGTGTGTGGCCACGGCTGGGTTTCAGAGCCACGGTTACAAGTTCTCCTTTAGTCTCTCCTGCTTTGCCAAGCCAGCTGATGGTGTAGTGCGGACTTAGAGGCGTGGCTGGCCTTTGAGGGTACCAATGCCTGCAGGGTGGGTCCGCCTGTCAGAAAGGCTCATGTGCACACTGGGCAGCCGGATGGAGCACGGTGGTCCCAAGGGAGCTCAGCCTCGTCTCCTGCAGGCCTGGCTCCCGTGGTGCCTTCTCTTCCTCTGCTCTGACCGACTCCAGGCCTCCTGTCCTGCGCCTTGGGGAGAGAAGGATGATGGGGACAGGGCTTTCCTGCTTGGAGCTGGAGGTGGGGAGAGGCCCATCTGACGTGGCCATTCCCACGCGTGCTCATACTCAGTAGAGCTCGGGAGGAGTGCGGCCGATGGGATTGCCTGGCCTTTGCAATCAAAGCCCAGCAGACTGACGTTTGACCTTCAGCTCCTCAGCTTCCTTTTGAGCCTCTATCTGATGGCTTTTGAAAATCCATCTGGCAGATGAAGTTGTCCAGGAAAACAACACCCCATCTGCAGATCCGCCACTTCCTGCGTAAACAGCCTGTCCTGTTGTCTGGCCGAGGTGTGGAGGGGCCTGTGGGCAGCCTGGTGCTGGGCCTGTTCCTCACCCAAGCCGTTTTGGGGACAGGAGTGTGGTAGTTTCCAATCTGTTTTTATGTGGAGTCTGCCTACACAGTCTGTGCCTTTCTGATGCAAGAGGGTTCCCATCATGTATGTCAGAGTCAGCTTAGCTGACGGCAGCTTTATCTGAAAAGGCAGGAAAAGCACCTTGGACGTGCCAGTACCCACAGAGGGTGAGTGAGTTTGGGCCAAGTTGGGGAACCCTCTTAGAGCCTTTGCAACTTGGTAGTGCTCTGTTCCTGTCCCTGGTTCGAGCTCAAGACGGTGAGCCTGGCTCAGGGTTTGAAGGGAGGAGGATGTCACCTGACTGAAGGCACTGCCTAGGGCTGGTGTGAGCGAATTTCTCCAGCCTGAGGCCCTGAGCACTGTTCTTTTGAGATGGGAACTGATGTGTGTGTGTGTGTGTGTGTGTGTGTGTGTGTATGCCTAAGTGGTGTGTGTGCATGTATGGTGTGTGGGTGGGTGGTGGGGTGTGTGTGCACTGGGATGGTATGTATGGGGTATGTGAATGTAGTGGGGGTTGTGTGTGTGTGTGTGCATGTGTGTATGTGTGTGTAGTGGTGTGTGTGTGTATGCATGGGGATTGGGTGTGTAGTGGTTTGGGGTGTGTGTGTGTGTGTGCATGGGCGTGGAGATATGTGCATGGGGGTGGGGTGTGTGTGCATGGGGATGGGGGTGTGTAGTGTGGTGGTATGTGTGTGCATAGGTGTGGGGTTGTGTATAATGGAGTGGTGTGTGTGCATGGGGGTGGGGGTGTGTGTAGTAGGGTGGTGTGTGTGCATGGGGGTGGGGGTGTGTAGTGGGGTGGTGTGTGTGTGTGCATGGGGGTGGGGGTGTGTGTAGTAGGGTATTGTGTGTGTGCATGGGGGTGAGAGGGTATATAGTGGGGTGGTGTGTGTGCATGGGGATGGGGGTGTGTGTAGTGGGGTGTAGTGTGTGTGTGTGTGTGTGCGTGTGTGCGCACGCGCGCGCACATGGGCGTGGGATGTGTGCATGGGATGGGGTGTGTGTGCATGGGGATGGGGGTGTGTGTAGTGTGGTGGGGTTTGTGTGCATGGGGGTGGGGGGTGTGTAGTGGGGTGTTGTGTGTGTACGTGTGTGCATGGGCGTGAGATGTGTGTAGTGTGGTCGGGTATGTGTGCATGGGGGTAGGGGTGTGTGCATGGGGGTTGGGTGTGTATAGTGGGGTGGTGTGTGTGCATGGGGGTAGGGTGTGTGTGCTCAGGAGTGGAGGGGTGGGTGAGGGTGGGAGGTGTGTGTATGGTGTGGCATGTGATTTGCTGTGTATGATTTCATGGTGTGTTGTATGTGGTTTTTCTTAGCCACTGCCCCTCACCCTGTACATACACCTGGGTCACAAGGATCAAGGCTGCTTCAGCCTATCTGGTGGCTTTGCTCTGTCTCTCTTTGTCTTCAAGGGAGAGTGGGGGGCACTGATGGGGGCCAGGTCTTTGTGAGGAGGGTTGAGGGAGTTCCTCTGGCTCTTACTCCCGGTGGTTTGCGGGAGCCTGGTCCTGGCAGCCTGAGGCCTGGCCAGGGGTTTGCCAGGATCCTCAGTCAGGAGCCTCTCCCTGGCCCCCGATCGCAGGGGTAGTTTTGGTGAGCTCTCCCCCGGAGCTGGGGCCCTCACCCCGGAGCCTATGCCCTTCTCCGGAGCCTGGGAACCTCGGCTCTCCCTGCCGCTCTCTGAGGGGCGTGGTCACCGGGAGCAGGTCACGCATGGCTTCGGGGAGGTCTGCTTCTCTGACAAGCTGATGGGATCTTGAAAAGGTGCTGCCTGCCGACCCAGAGCAGGTGCTCCCTCTGCAGAGGGTAGAGGGAAAGCAGCGCTGGCTGCCGCTGAAGGCAGGCCTTGGGCGCTGAGAATTGGTCGTAACTGCTCTAACTTCAAGGTTATTTATTTATTAACTGCCTGCAGGCGGTCAGCTAGCCAGCGAGACCTGCGCTCAGAAATGTCGCTCTCTAGATAGAAGTTGAGCCATAGGCATTAATGTCGTCTCCTCCCTGCTGGAGGCCTGCACAGGTGGTGGCACTCGCTGCATCAGCCTTGGTTCTAGGATCTGGGAAAGGCCTCCTGACCCCCAGCTGCTGGCAGAGGCCTGCACAGCAGTCCCTGGACACTGGCTGCACCTGGATACAGGACCTGCTTTGGATGGGACACTCCTCTCTCCTGCCTTTAGAAGGGAGAGTGTCTGCCAAGCCACCCTCTTCTAGTCCAGCTGCTCCTGTAGGGATCTCTCATGTGACAGATCTGGCGTGAGCTGCCTCTGGACCCAAACTCCAGATGGCAGGGTGCAGGCCCTCAGCGGGCTTATAGCTGCCCAGTGACCTCCGGCCAGCCCTGCGGGGCTCGCATGGACGTGCCACTCCTCCCGACAGCCCGCCGAGTCTTGTCTGCCAAGCCTCGCTTCACTGGCTTGACATGGTAACCTGGCACACTTATTCCTTAGTGTGATATTTAAGTGGTTTTTTACTATAATTAACTCTAAAGCATGAAAAATAGTACTATTCACACTTAATTATCTTTGCCCTTTAGAGAAGAGTAATGTGCAAAGTGCCATTACTTGCAGCCTTTCAGGTGGTTTTGTCAAATGGGTCTTCCTGTGGAGTTGGGTGGTTTTGGCTCTTGAAGCCCATGTGCGCTCTGGACTGTGTCATCCAGCTCTTGAGAAGGTCAGAGGGCATCTGCACTTCCTCCCGGACATCAGGGTGGCAGCGGCAGGCTCTCCCGTGGGCGGGCTGGCCCTTGGTGCTCCTTAGCTTTTGTGGCAAGTGGAATGACTTGTGGCTAGTAGGTGGAGGGTGGACAGATGAGCTCACAGCCCTGGGGCCTCATACAGATCACACCTGCCATCTGCTCACCTTCCTTTTGCCCCTTCCTTCCCCCACCTACTCTGGTTCCACCTTGTTACGGCTTGACCTCAGGATGAGTGCACAGAAATGTTCCAAGGTCTCAAGTCTAGGTTTCTGCTGGGACCTGACCTCCAAGACTCCCAGGCAGGGAAGCAGGGACACATTTCCTGGGTGTCCCTCGGCCAAGTGGCTTGGGTGAGCTGGGAGGATTAGGGTCCCCTTTGGGATTGGGGGTGATAAAGTCAATGCCCAGACTTAGGGGGCATTGAGGCTGGTCTTGAAGGCAGGTCCTTGGCACTTCCCCAGGCTTTTGGGGGTTTGCTTTTGATGCCTGTCACAGCTGGAGGTGATTAAGTGACTGGGGCCCAAGGGTGGTGTGGGGACTTTCTGAGGACACAGGGTGTTAGTCCTGGGCTGGAGCTGGAGCCAGAGTAGCCAAAGTGGGTGATTGGTGATGCTGCCGATGGCGCGGCCTCTTGTGAGCCTCTTGCGCTCCTGGCGTGCACTTCAGCACACGCTGCAGCCCTAGCCTGAGAGCGCCATTCGCCCCTGAGTAGCACGGGCTCAGCCAGCTGTCCAGTAAGCCTGGAGCCCGGGCCTCTGGTGCCCTGGCTCTGGTTGTCGTCAGTCCCGCCCTGGTGGCTTTAGGTGGTGTTAACGGAGGCGCCAGGCTTTGGCCACTTAACTTTGAGTCATGTCTCATCTGTGAAAGCTAGTGTGCCTGGGTTGTGCAAATTTAATCAACAGTAGGAGCTTAACACCCATTGCCCACTTCAGAGATTCCCAAGGGAAATGAAGCAGGTAGTTTTCAGGGGCCCTGAGCAGCCATTGCAGTGAGACCCCCGTCTCCTCGGCCCAGCTTGCTGCGTGTGGCTATGAGCTCCCTGCTGCTGGTCTCTGAGGCCCACCTGTCTGTCTCGGGTCCTCACCCTGTGCTTTGTGGCTACAGTCTGGGCTGGGGCGCTTGCTTGGGTAGAGAGGGAAGTGGTACAGGGCTCAGAGAGGGGAGGGATTCTGCTTCATGGCTAGTCATGTCTGAGTGTGTCTCAAAGGCACATGGAGCTCCCTCTTTGAGGTGGCCATCTCCAAGTTCCGAAGTGCCCTCCCTGCCCTGTCCCCTCTGAGCCTGCCCAGCACCCAGTGCGCACCCTGTCATCTACTCACCCTTGGCAACCCACAAAGCACAGTCTGAAAGCCACCTGCTGTTTTCACTTTGGCTCTAACACTTGGTAGCTAGAATACCATGCCATCCTAGGCAGGACCATGCTGACGTGGAGCCTGGGTGTGGGATGGTGCGTGCGTCATTAGACTTGGTTTTCGGTCCCTCCCTCCTCGCTCCATGTCTAGTGCTTCTTCTCATGAGAGCCTCGTCACAGGCAGTGACAGGGACTCATCCCCTGACCAAGAGGCTGGGGGTGACGTGGTGTTTTCAGGGACCTGCCCAGAGCACCCGTGACCAGGAGCCCTCTGTGAGGTGGGCAAGGGCTGCCCAGCCTCCTCTGTTCCGTCTTCTCACTGACTGACTTCTCAGGGCTGAGTGAGCTTGAACGTTTCTCACCACAGTGAGTGATGCTGATATTGACTTCTCTGAAATGTGAAATCTAACTTTCCTTTAAAGAGGCTCTGTGCTGCTGGGAGGCAGCTTGCTTCAGGCCCCAAAGGGTGGGCTGTGCTGCTGGTGGCTCTCACTGGCGGTGGAGGGAAACGCTTGGCAGTTGCTTGTCCCAGGCGGCCAGGGTGCGGATCGAAGGAGGAGCAGAGGCCGGCTGGGTAAGGTTGAGGGGTCAGCTGTGGCTCGGAGGTCACTTTGAGGCCCGGTACTTTGTCCCTGAATTTGTGATGGACACATCCGCTTGGTGCCAGGTGCCAGTGAACTAGGGACGGGCCGGGGCTTGGGGGCAAGAGGTGGCCAAACCCTGACCCTGGTGTTCCTTGTTTTTCCCTTCGAGGATCCACTCCAAGGAGCACTTCCAGGAGAAGTATGCCGTGGATAGCGTCCAGTACGCAGACGAGGTCAGTAGCAGCCGCCGCCTCCTCTCTGAGCAACTCCGGGCTTCAGCTACCCCTTTGCCCTGGATTCCCTCTCCTCCCACTGCCATGTGGACATGCAGGATGCCACACCAGACCGCTAGCCCCTCAGCAATGCCCTCATGTGGGGAGAGCAGGTGGGAAACATGTGCCTCCCAGCTCCCAGGAGACAGGCCCCTCCTTTGCAGGGCAGTGCCTCTGACTCGGTGGTGGAGCTGAACTTCATGGGGGAGAAGGTCTCTGGCAAAGTCTAAGGCCCCCTGCTTGGCCTGGGCCTTCCTGTCACTCCAGCCCACACTGGCACCCTCCCCTGGCTCCCGGGGCCAGGTGTGATCATGGTCTGGTCTGTACCCTGCCCTTGACTGTCTGTATTTGTCACTAAGGCCTGGTTCTTTCCCCTGACTTTACTCTCACGCTCTGTTGCCTTCCCAGTCAGGGTCCTGTGGCATCAGAGCTGGTTGGGACCCAGGGCGGAAGTCAGCAGCCCGAGCAGGGTCTGGTGAAGAAGGTGCTGCCTGCTCTGACAGCATTCTGACTGGTTGGATTGTGGAAGGAGTGGGGGGAGCTTTTGATGGATCTTTATGTATGTCATGTGATTTCAGTGCCACATTATCCGGGAGTGACTCCTAGCATCTAAAGAGTCTGTTAATACTCCCGTGATCTGATGTATTGATCTCTTTGGATATAGAATCTAAAATAGTCTGAGCACTTATTAGGTCTAGTAATATTTAATGTCGTTTTCTAATACCTTTTTAAAATCGAATTTATTTAAACAATACAACAAAATTTAATCAACAATATAGTTGCCGTTGTTTTCTACTACTTGTGCCCAACGCTCAGGAAGCATTTTAATCCCTCTGTTGTAAAATTCTTGTGATTTTGATGCAAAAAATTCGGTCAATGCATTTTTGAGGCATTCTTCTTTATTAAATTTTTTTCCAAGAAGAAAGTTTTGCAAAGAACGAAACAAATGGTAATCGGAAGGGGCAATATCAGGAGAATATGCAGGTTGAGGGAGAACTTCCCATCCAACTGGCGCAGTTTTTCAGCAGTGATTCTTGCAGTATGTGGTCGTGCGTTATCCTGGTGAAGAATTACGCCCTTTCGATTAATCAGCGCGGGTTCTTTTTCTCTTAAAGCTTGGGCTAACCTTTCCAATTGGGCACTATACACTGCACTTGTAATGGTTTGGTTAGATGGTAAAAGTTCATAATGAAGAATTCCTTTAAAATTCCACCAAACACACAACATCACTTTTTTCGCATGCAAGTCAGATTTTGGCGTGGGCTGCGGAGCCTCATTTTTGTCCAACCATTGAGGCCGCCTTTTCAAATTAACATACAGCACCCATTTTTCATCTCTGGTAACAATTTGCTCTAAAAACGGCAAACGGTTTTGACGAGAGAGGAGCGAACTGCAAATTGTGACTCTTTGATTACGGTTGTTGTTGGTCAACTCATGAGGAACCCATTTTCCAAACTTTTGGACTTTGCCAAGTGCACGCAATTGATTGGAAATTGTTTTTTGTGAACAATTTAAAGTTGTCGCAAGCTCTTGTTGGGTAATTTGAGGATTTTGCACCAAAAGAGCTTGAAGAGCTTCTTGATCAAAATTGGACACACGGCCTCGACCACTCTTGTCATCTAACGAAAAATTTCCCTCGCGAAATTTCTCAAACCAACGCTGGCATTTTCTGGCGCTAACTGCATCTTGACCAAGAGCACTACAGATGTTTTTTGCAGCCTCACTTGCTTTTCTTCCTAATTGGAACTCGTAAAGCATGCAGTGCCGAATATGCTCTTCATCCGCCATCTTCTTAGCCCTAGTTTTGCAACAAAAACCAAACCAAACACAAACTTTTTCAAGCAAAACTTGTTAATTGCACTTCACACGTTCTGTAGATACCACGTGTTTGAAGGTTATGTCAATACAAGTCAATGCCAAGCAAGATTTTAGATGAATGTTAAAACGACATTAATTATTACTAGACCCTATATTTGCGTGTCCTTAACGAGGTCATTGCCTTTTACCCCATATTTCCCAGTGCTAGCGAGAGAGGGACCTGCTCTTCCTGCTCAGCCCTGGGTCTCACCTGCTGATGCACCCTCCCCTGTGGCAGGTGTGTCTCTCCGGCCTCCATAAACTGCATCTTAACATGATTGCCTTTTGGAAACTTGACCTTCTAGGCTCCTCCGTGCGAAACCTGGAGGGGCAGCCTGGGATGGCGCCTGGGATGGCTCCTGGGATGGGTTCTGGGATGGGTTCTGGGACTCGGGCCACCGTGTCGGAGCGTCTCTGTGCCGCAGCCTTCCCAGCTTCTGGCAATCATCCTATGACTAAGGAGGACTCGGCCTCATTTATGTTGTCATTTCTGAGGAGAAAAGAGATCTGGCCTCTAAACACAGTAAAACGGGGTCTTGAGGGCCAGACAGGAAAGCCCATAATGACAACGTAAGTCACAGCCCACAGCCCTGCTCACAGTCTGTGCTACGAAGAGGACCTCACACGAGGGCTTCAGCGGAGGTCAGGGAATGGGCTCTCCTCCAGCTCAGGCGCCTCACAGCACCCCCTTGTCCTTGTTGCCGGTTCTCAGTTTGGTGACATTGTCGCTGCTGTGGTGCCATTTGGACACCAGGGAATGGCACCACGGCTCGTGTTGACCGTGAGACAGGTCTTCACTCCAGGGTGGCACCTTTGGGCTTCAGTATTGCCAGCTCCTACAGATCTCCTCGTTCCCTCCCACCCCACCTATCACAGGGAGGAGGCTGAGGCTGAGGCTCAGAGATGAGAAGGGCCTCGTCCACAGCCCGACAGCTGGGGCAGCAGAATTGGAATGCAGCCCCAGGACGCTTGGACCCCAAGGCCTGGCCCTTCACCTCTGCATTTTCTCTCTCTGAAATGAGGGTGCTGCAGGACACGTCTATGGAGGTGACGCAGGCTGTCAGGCGCCTTTGATTTTCTGGCTCAAAATGGAGCCTGACAGAAATACAGGCTGCAGGACTGAGACCTGGGCCGAGGCACTGGAGGCCCCAGGCCTGCTCCACTGCAGAAGGTGACAGGAAGCCTTCTGCCGGGACTGAGACTGGGGCTGGGGCTGGGGCTGGGGCTGGGGTTGGGGCTGGGGCTGGGGTCTGGGCTGGGCCTGTTCTCCGGTGCTCAGGCCCATGGAACTTCAGGCAGCCTTGGTCTGTGACCAGCCCCAGATGGGAAGCAGCTAACACTCTCCAGGAAGAGGTCAGGAAGGCCCCCAGCCCCAGGCGTGACCATCACCTGAGAGCAGGTGTCTGATGTTGCGAACCTGGCTGTCTAGTTCCCTTCCTCCCCATGATGATCCTGACTTTCATTATGGAGAAGGTAGAGCGAAGAATGGTGGTTCCGTTGAGAACGGGGCGCTTCGGAGAACCCTGAGAGGCTCTTCCAGGCATTGCTGTTGAGGTGCCGTGCAAAGGCTGGTATTCATGATTGCGTGGGAGCTGGCGAGGTGGAGGGCACATGGTACCCTGGTTCTTAATGGCCGTGGGCAGATGTTGGGAGGCACGAGGGTCACCAGCTCCGATGCAGGCAGGATGGATGTAAGAGAAAGCACTGTGCAGCACAGCCATGGATGCTGCCTGCCTCTCAGCCTCGGTGTGACGAGGCATCAGGGTGGGGTGGGGTCTGTGGCGGGACCTCTGGAGAGGCAGCCGCTCTGTGGAACTGCTGGCCCAGGTTGTTAGATACTCTGATCGTTCAAGAGTAGCTGCAGATAAATCCATATTGATTGTGACCTTTCCTGATGCTTAATTTTTAGAAACAAATTCAAAATGTAAATGCATTGCCTACATTGCCAGCCAATGTTGTGCACCCGTTTCAGACTACCATGGAAAAGTTCATCCAAGGGCTGATTCTTGTGTGGTGACGCCCAGATCCCCGGAGCAGTGTGGGCTTTGTGATTGTCCAGCGCCCTGTCCTGGCTCCCCCGTGAAGAATGGCCTGCGGGGCTGGTTGGAGCTCTGGACCTGAGGGCGTGTGAGGTGTCCACAGGGAGCCTTTGATTGTCCATGGGCTCTGATGAGATCTGTGTGTGCTGTCCACCTCAACCTCCGGAGAGGCAGGCCTGCCTGGGAAGTCAATGTGGCTCTGGTCTGTGAGAGCTCATGGGTCCCTGGTGACCACACTCCATGGAAGTGAGGCCCTGTGCTCGGCTAGTGTGGCTCAGTGGTTGAGCATTGATCTATGAACCAGGAGATCATGGTTTGATTCCCAGTCAGGGCACATGCCCAGGCATGGACTCAATTCCCAATGTGGGACTTGCAGGAGGCAGCTGATCAGTGATTCTCTCTTGTTGATGTTTTTATCTCTCTGTCCCTAAAATCAACAAAAACGTATTTTTTAAAAAGGAAAATATATTATTAAAGAAAAGAAAAGAAACGAGTCCCCGTGTTGACAGAGCAGTGCTCTCCTGTGTGCCCAAGCTGCATTTCCAGCTGGCAGCACACCGCCGTGCCATGTCCCCTAATTGTGGAGGCATGGCGTCAGGCTGTGCTGATGAGAGAGTAGCACTGATGGGTCTCCGTGGGGAAGGGAAGGCAGATGGAGCTGCTTGGCTGGGGGAGGCGTGGCAGCCGCCGAGGTAACCGGGACCCACGGGAGCATTGTGGTCACTAGAAGATGTGGCCCTGCCAGGACGAGCAGGCGCCCGCCTCCTCTGGGCCGAGACTCGCCTGCACCGGAGGGCTGCTTTCTCCCCCATCGCTCAGGGGCACGTCCTGAGCTGCTGCCGAGAGGAAAAGCAGCAGCTTGCACATTTGTTACCCCTTTCTCCCAAGGACAGTAGCACATGCATCCCCAAGTGCCCGCTGCTCTCGGGCTCTGCCGCTGTGACTGACAGGATGTCCTGTGCTGATGAATGGAGACCCTTCACCAAGGTGACAACACACCCAGGGCTCGAAGCGAGGCTCCCCCTTTTAACGAGCCCCCCCCCCCAGAGGGCCTGGCTGGGGAGTAGCAGGGACTGCGCCACGCAGAGGCGCTCTGAGCAGTTGCTGAGTCAGTGAGGGGTTTCCAGGGAGATGGAGCCTCAGGCACTGCTGGGGGAGGTGGTTGGTTCAGTCTGGAGGGCATCTGGCCGTGAGCAGCAGAAACCTTGACGAAGTATATGGCTTTTCCCCTAGAAATCACTGGGTCTGATTTGTTTGTTTGTTTTAAGGAAATAAAATGTTTAAGGAATTTATCTAAGGAAATAAAGGCTCATGTACAAGGATGTTCACCAGGACTTTATTTATCATAGTTAATCCTTAGAAATAATGTATGTCCAACAGAAGAACGAGTGACTTATGCGATATCTGGTGAGAGAATACTTCACAGCCGTGGCTTTAGCTCTGGGCTCCACTCCTGGTGAGAGAATACTGGCAGCCTGGGCAGGTGATGGAACCTGTAAGCCGTTCTCGTCGGTGAAGTCTGGGTGTCTGCAGCACCGGCTCATAGTGGTTAAACGAGACGACGTCTCAGGTGCCAGCACAGGCCATGCCCAGGGCTCGCTGGACGCTCCTGTCCCTGGCGGTGTGACCGTAAACACCGCGGGCTTGGAGAATATTTAATGACAGGGAATAAGTGAAGCGTGTAACTTCCTACGATCCAAATGTCACTGCAGGCCTGTTTTTATGTGCAGAGATAAAAGGTCTCTGGGGATGGGCTTGTAGATGTGTTTTATGTTTTTATAGTTTTCAGTATCTTCCAGGTTTTCTCTGTGAGCCTCTCAGTATTAAAAAGCACATATATACACATGTCAAAACTATCAAAATGTGCACTTTAAATATGCGCGGTGTAGAATATGCCAGTGACAGCTCAGTAAAGCTGTAAAACAACAAACAGCAAATCCTCCTCACTCTCGATGAAGCATTTCCGGTGGGTCTGTGGGGAGGGGCAAGGGCTGCAGAGAGGAGCCTGTTCTCCGCTCTGGGGGCTCAGATACAGTGGGGGCTGCAGTAGCCAAGACTCGGAGCAGACTGAGGGGGGGGCAGGTGAGCAAGAAGATGCTCCCACCAGGGTGGTTGGCACTCGGGTTGCAGACATCATGGCTAAGGCAGCATGTCGGCACTTTGGCCAAGGGAATGACGGTCATTCCCAGAGAGAAGGGAGTGGATGAACCTGCCTGGGGGCAGGGGCCTCAGTCCTGAGTCTGAATTGATGAAGTGGCTGAGATGGGGGAAGGCATAGCAGGCAGAGGCGAGAGCCCTAGGAAGGCCTGGAGAGAGGAGTTTGCATGGTGTGCTCAATCAAGGGGTTTGGTAGGAAGCCAGCAGTACACAGGGGCCTGAGGCCTGAGCGGCCATGGTGGAGGGATGCGGATCGGGGATGCAGGCCGGGGAATGGGAGAGGACTGGGGATGGCTGACATCCCACGGCTAGGGGATCACTGAGGGGCGGGAAGGGAAGTGTCCGCCTTGGGATGGGAGGCTAGTGGGGCCAGTGTCTAGGAGGCTGCCATACAGGTCTTTCAGGAGGGACTGCTTGTCAGATGCTCGGAGGCACTGGCCTTGGAGGGTGGGTAGGCCTGGTGCTCGAGCTCAGAGCCTTCCTGGGCCTGGAGGCAGGATGGTTGGTATGTGGGGAAGTGTGCCTGGCTTAGGTTTGAATTCCTGTCTGCCACTTTACCGGAAGCCCCTATTCCTCATCTGCTGGATGGGGGCAGCCACAGCAGCACCTGCTTTAAGGGTCTGCTCACCACACCTGAGCTGTCATTGAGTGATGGTGGTATATCGTCTCCGTCCCTTCCTTGGTTGCTCTAAAGCAGATTTTTCTTTTTAAACCTTTCAGATCGCCAGTGTCCTGGCCTCACAGAGTCCCTCTGTCCTCCTCACTTTGGTAAGTGTCCAGGGTCTGGGCAGTGGTTGGGGTTTTGGGAAGCCACCATCCGCCTCACCTGAGCAGCCTGAACTGGCGTCTGCAAAGAGCCAGGCCTGTTTTCCTGCTTTTCAAGGTGCTGCAGACGGAGGGCCTGCCTTGGGTCGGGCTCCGGTTTGGCGTTGACCTGAAATGCAGGGAGGAGTGGCTTCACCAGGCTGGGGTGGGAGCTCCAGGTCCTTCCCCGGTCTGGGCCTGGTTCTGAGCCTGGCTGGGGAGGCAGGCCCTCCAGGGCAGGCTGTGGGTGCCAGCAGCCCCATGTGACGCATCTGTGTCTCCCTCTCCCCAGCGCGGTGTCAACACGGACAGCGGCAGTGTCTGCAGGGAGGCCTCCTTCGAGGGCATCAACAAGTAAGTGCTGGGGCCAGGAACTACTTCCTCCATCCTCCACCGCTCACACCTTCGCCGCAGGCCTTTACCTACAACCTAGACAGGAAACACACAAACAGGAGCAGGCCAAAGGCGGTCAGACGGGACACTTTGAGGAAATGCTGAGAAAATCATTTGCCTAAATTCCCTTCAGCGTTTACTTTAAGGAACAGCTGCCCTTCTCTGTGAGCTCTAGAGTGAGGTGCAGGCCTGCGGAGTGCAGTGTCCGCACAGGCAGGCCCCACTGTGCTCCTGCTTTCCCTCCAGGATCTCTCTGAGCCCGAGCTCTTTGTTCTTATCCGCCCTCCTTCCTTACTGCTGGCCTCTAACTTCTTCCAGCCCTGCTGGCAACATCTCCTCCCCCCCCCCCCATGTCTCCTGCCGCCCTAGCCCTGGGTCAGGACCCCCTTACCTGCCCTCACGCCTCATTCGAGCCCCAGGCCTAGCCCCCAAACCCTATTTCTCCTTCTAGTTCTCCAGGCAGGAGGGTAGGTTTTAGGCTCCCAGTGCAGCGCCTCACCCTCCTTACACTCGCACGCTGTGAGCACGAAGGGTGCTGGGTCTCTGGGCTGGGTTGGCTGGCCCGGGGCGAGGTGGGGCGGGGGGAGAAGGGAGGGTCTGTGTTGCTAGCCCAAGGCTACAGCAGACAAGCCCTTGGGGGTGCACCTGCTCCTCCTGGCTGCTGAGCTGGACAGCTCCCAGTCGGCTCCTGCGCCTTGATCACTGCCCCTCCCCCACACTGCACTGCCCGTCCTCTGTCGTCCTTTGGTGGACTAAGGCAGTGACAGAGGAAGTGCCTTATAATTATGTATGAGCCTGCGCCATGGGAATTGGTGTGTGTGTGTGATGTAGGGGTGATTAGGAAGGATTATGAACTCATAAATATGCAAGACTCCCCCTTTCCCCCCCCACATGAGAGAGATGGGGCAGGGGGAGCAGGTGTCAGGTTTGCTTCTTTTCATCGCTCAAATCTCCGCATCCTCTTGGGAGTTTTCCCAGAGCATCCATATCTCCCACGCTGGCAGCAATTAGCTCAGCTCGTTGAAATGCTGGCCATGGATGTGCTGTCTTTCCCAGGCCCTTGGAGGGAGTGTGTGTCTGTACTGTCAGGCCTCCTCTGGCCACTCCAGCACTGCCAGGTGCCGGTGCTCAGTCCTGCTCACCTGCCTCCACCTGCACCAGGGAGTGGCTCTGTGGTCCCCGGGCCGGCCCCTCCAGCCTCTGCTTCATTCTCTGCTTTGCGGGGAGGGCCCTGAGCTAGGAGGAGGAGCCCTGATGGCCCCTTGCTGGCCAGCTCTGTGACCTTAGCAGATTTGCCCTCTGAGCTTTGGCTCCCCAGTGTGTGGCGTGCGTGGACCTGTCGGGATAAAATGAGACCCACTCATCTGGAGCCTAGCGTGGAGCTGGTTTTCGGTAAACGGTCACTCGTGCCAAACCCCAGCAAGCCCCGCTGCCCCTCTGAGCCCCGTCTCGGTCTCTCTGTGCTGTGGGCAGGGAGGCTTCAGGATGGCTGATTACAAGACTGGGTGTCGGTGAGCTGTGGGGCTTCGGGCTCCTGGTACGTGACTTTGCTTGTCCTCCAGAGGTCTCTGCTGCAGGGAATGGTGGGTGGTGTGGCAGGCCTGGTTCTTGGGGAGCTCAGGTTGTAGCTCCTGAGAGGGGAGCACTGCTGGCTGCTCCCTAAGGTTTCCTGGAGAGAGGTGGGTTGGGGTAGAGGCTCACAGACTTCATCGCTGTCATCCTTACCCCGCTGGGACTCGTCCGCCGTGAACCCAGCCTCTCCCTCCATGAGCGGACCCCAGCCTGTCTCCTGTTCCTCCCTGAGTCTTCAGCCCCTGCCAAGAGCCCAGAGGATCCGAGCTTGGTCAGCCCCACCGACATGGTCAGCATTTGGGAGGCTTTTTAGAGAACCAGGGGCTGCTCTAACTTTGCACATTCTCCCCCAGGAACTGGGCTGGTCCCCCTCCAGCCCGTGATCCTGTCCAGAGGGAGGTGACAATGAGGTGCTCCCCAGGCCCCTCACGGCTGAGCCAGGGATTCCTTACCATACCGTGAGGGCGCTCAGTGTCCCGGCCTGGCTGATGGATAGCGTGTGAGAGCCTCCCTGTGTCTCTGCTTGGGGTCCTTTGGCCTGCTGTGGTTCCCCTCCCCTCCTGTCCCCTGGGGGCTTGTCCCCTATGCCTCCCTCTGGCCTCCCCTCCCACTGTGCAGTGTAGTTCCACCCCATACACCGCCATGGGCACTGACCCCGGCCCAGCCTCCGCACCCAGCCGCCCACAGTGCTTTCCCGCAGTCACATCTTTTCCTGGGACCTGGTACAGCCCAGCCCCTGCCTTCCACCCACACGGGCTGTCGGCATCTCCACTCTGCCACCTCCTGGCCTCTCTGCCAGCCTGGGGAGGCCCTTGTCCTTGAGGCCGCTGCAGCTCAGCGGAGCTCGCCCGTCTGCCCTCAGCAGCTCCAGCTGTTGGTGGGATAATTATAGCCTGATTCCCAAGCAAGAGGACTCCTGCTGTTCTCCTGCTTTCTAGTGCTCAACTGCTTCTGTCACCGGGTGCTTCTCGCTGCCCTAATGAAGGGCCTTGTGGGGTTGGGCCCTTGTGACTTTTCCTGTAACACATCCCATCTTGGACCCTGACTGACCTGCTTTAGCAGAAGTTCAGGTTTGCTCTCTCAGTTTGTGCTGCTGGCCATCCAGGCTGCCCTCATCCTTTGGCCTGGGGAGAGGAGGGAGCTTGGCAGAACCATGGTCTCCGTCCACTTCTGTCCAGTCCTCTGGGTCCTACTCCGCCTGGGTGAGCAGCCCGTGACCCCTCCAAGTGTGGCTTCGCGGAGTTGGCCGCGTGAGTCAGCCACACGTGGGCTCAGTGCTGGTAGGGCTGTGGGTTTGGTCTTGGGAGGCCTCAGAGCTCCCTCCCCCTTCCGAGGTCAGACCAGGCCTGCTGCCTGCAGCAGGGAGTGTGCCAGGCCTTGCAGTGGTGGGGTTGGTACAGGAGCAGGAGCAAGGAGAACAGGGAGCCAGAGATGGGGTAGGAATGGTGGACGTGCACTGGGGTCTCCCCATGGCCTGGGCTCCCTAGACTCAAAGAGTGTGGCTTTGTCCTCCCTGGGGAGCCAGGGCGAAGGGAGAGGTGGGAATGGTCTACAGAGTGTGGGCTCTGGCCCAGGCCCTCGCTCCCACGTATGGCTGGATGGAGCAGGGACAGTTCCCGCAGGAGGTGTGGAAGGAGCAGGCTCCTCTGGGGGCTGTGGCCAGAAGAGGGGGTCAGGCTCATGGTCAGGTCCTGGTAAGGGCATGGCGGGGCGGGCAGGGGCTGGGGGAGGCGCACTGAGATGGAGGGACAGCTCTGCAGTCAGGAGGACAGGGGCTTGTGGGACCAGGAAGGGAAAGAGGAGGTCTGTGGGGGCTGAGATGGCCTTAGCCAAGGGTCACTCAGACATCAGGGTCATATAACTTAATGGGGAACCTTCCTGACAGGAGAGCTCCCCTGAAACCAGAGGGTGTGCCCAGGAGCCAGGGGTGGGGTGGAGTGTGAGGTACAGGGCACTTGGCTTTATACTGTTGCCCAACAGGAATATGATTGATACTTGACATCAGTTGCTTAGTTAGGACCTACTTACATATTTCTTATCTTTTGGCATTTACTTAATTGCTTTGCATATTTGAAGACCATCAGTTACAAATTAATTCTATTTAAATAAGCAGTTAATATGAAATTGCTGGGCTTGGGGGTTATTATTTCAGGAATATTAATATTTAAAGATGTGAATTTTAAAAACCACAAAGTAAAGGGACATTATTAAAACTCGGCAATTACAGCAACATACTAGTGTGTGGTGTGGGGACCTTGGCTTTCTGGTTGCTGTTAACTTGTGTATCAAGTTAGTATTTGGGATTGGGCTTCTAATTGCGGCCCTCGGAATCTCCATGAGAGGGAGGTCCTGCAGGGACAAGAGCCTGCCTCAGCCCCGAGGGGCGATGGGGAGTGGGGGCTCTCCAGAGCTGGCTTTCCAGGCAGGCCTGGCTGTGCTTGGGTTACAAACGGCAGGGAGGAGGCCGGCGGCTGGGGTAGGGGTGTTTGGGGCCACACTACTCACCCTGTGTCACCCAGCCCGCAGGTGGAGCACACAGGGAATTCACCTGTGCTATGATACGCGCCCCGCCTCACCCCTACCCACTCAGGCACTGGTGCGTTTGTGGTTTTTTTTTGTTTTTGGTTTTTTTTTACACAATTACATGATTCTCATAAAAAATGCTAACTAGCACAGTGGCAAAAGCAAGGAATATCGGAATTTCATAGCTATGACTTAAAGCCTGGTCAACATTGTGGTGAATGTTTTTGGACTCTTGTGAGTATGTCTGAGTGTGTTTCTCTGTCTGGGTATTTTGCTTATGAGTGTGTGTGTTTCTGTACGTGCATGTATTTGGGTGTGGATCTTTGTGTGTTAGTCTAAGTGTATGTCTGGGTGTGTGTGTCTGGGTGTGTATCCATGTCTCTTGAGTGTGTGTACCTGAGTCTGTGTGCATGTACTAGGATGTCTTTGTGTTTATGAATATACACCTGTGTGCATTTGTGTGTCTCTAAGTGTGTGTCTGTTGTATACACATCTGTGTGTGTCTGTGTGGCCTCTTCTCTCTATGTGTATACCGCCTTTGTGTGAGTTCATCTGTCATGTTACCTGTGTTTGTTTATGTGCTGGGTTACTTTGCTGCTTGGGGGTATGTGTGGATGTGTGTAAACACACGTACGCTTTGTGCAGTGAAATTTTACTGGTGCGTTTGGCTGTGGAGGAGATAGGCCATTGCTTTTCCTAATGTCAAAGTGACATTTGGCGAAATGGGAGGCAGAGTCTGTGTTGTCGTCTTGATTTATGTCATCTGCTGCTCTCTCTGTTCTTCACGCTGAAACATGCTGGCTGCCTGTGTTCTCTGGTATTTCACAAGTAGGGCTTTAATTCTACAACATTTTGGTGGGCTTTGA